GGTTTATTTTTTTGCTTTAAACTAATTTCATTATCCTGTAAATATATTAATATAAATTAAAAAAACATTTTTTTTTGTTAATATAAATATTTTAAAATATGGCCTACTTGTTTTGAAGCAGCTTCTAAACGTTTTTCTAATATAGTTACAGATTGATTTATAAAATCTATCATTAATTGAGTATCACCAAAATCATTATTAATTATAGATTTAGTCTTGTTTTCTACATTTATTAATTTTTCCTTTTCTATTAAATATTTATTTTCTTCATTTACACATTGATTTAAATTTGTACAAATATCATTTAATTTTTCTAAATCATTTATATAAATAGATTTGTCTACTTTATTTATACTTTTTCTTTTATTTGTATTTTTTCGTTTTTTAGAAATAAATCGTCCTCCTATTACAGGACTAGATGGAATATTTATAAATTTTTCATTATTTTTTATTTCTTTAGGAGATTTCCATGCTTCTGAAAAATCTAAATCTTTTTCATCAGCTAAAAGTGCAACTGCACTAGCTGCAATTTCATTTGAAATGAAAGAATTATTTAATAATTCATTATTTTTTTTTGTTGATTCAGTTATATCAATATTATCAATTAATTTATTGTTATTACAATTTGAAATTATTTTTGAAGATGTATTTTGAGTTTCTTCTTCAATATTTATTGTATTCTTATAAATAATTTTCGAATTTTGGAGTTCATTACTAAATCGTAATTTTTTAAATTGATTAGATTTTACTTGTTTGTTTAGGGGTATATTTTCATCTAAATCTTTAATTTTTCGTTTCTGTAATGATTTGGGAAAAGTAAAAGTATTTTCAAGGTTTTCGGAAATTTCTTCTTGAAATAATACTTGTGCTTTTAATAATGCTTCATTGGTCACATTAATATTTCGACCATTTGCAGTTTGAAATCCGACATTTGATGATTGTACATTAATATCATTTTCACTTTTGAATGTTTCTTCATAATTGTCAATTTCTTCAAGTTCTTTATTGAAAAGTTTTTTTGCTTTTGATAAAGCTTTCTCGGTTATATTAATTGAGCTACCACTAGCGGTAGTGAAACCACATAATAATCCATCATTTCTGTTATTATTGTTCATATCTATTAAACTTTTATTATTACGTATATATTTATTGGATACGTTGATATTTGAACAATATTGAAAATAAAAATTATTCGTTTTTACATTTCAACTGATGATATTAAAACACATTTCACTACTATACTTTAAAGACTAACTTTAAAGAGTAACTATGAGATATCTATCATTTAAAAAATGGCGTTTCTATCCTTTTCCCATTATTTGTTTTCCTTGTTTATATTTGATATATCAATATATAAACATTATATCATATAACATATATTCCGTAATTTTTATTTTTTGAAATAATATAATTTAATTTAAATTTTCTTTTTTCTACAAACAATATTTATTTAAAAATTATTGTAAATTATAAATATTATACAAAATTTTTTTACATGATATATGATGATATGAAGAAATATATTAATATTAAATTTTTTATATTTTTTTTGTGAAAATTGTATAGTAATTAAATTTTCTATTATAATCAAATATTAACATTTTGTATTTAAATAATTTAAATATTTAAATTATTTTGTATTTAAATAAAATTCTTGAATATCAGCGTCAATTTTGCTACTTATCTATTGAACCGGCCAAACATAGATTTAACCTCTACACATTTATTGCATTGCATATGTTTTACGCGGGAGTGTAATTCATTTTTATTTTTTAATGAATAAACATGAAATTTAAAACATATACAGGAATTACGTGGTCCATTTTGGAACTCACAGGTCTTTTAGAAGATGAAGATTGTTGTGTGTATTTTGAAAAATTTACAAAACATTTTGGTTTACATCCATTCCATTTAACAAATATAAATGCTGCTTTGAATGAAATTTTAAGTTCGAATTTAAATTCGTACGATACTGAGTATGTATATAATTTTCATTAATTTTCATGAATTATATTCTTCACTCGAAATTTGTATCTAATAATACAACTTTAAATAAAATGTAAAAATCTAACAAATATATGGTTATGTTTATATATAATATATAGGTTATATTTATTGCAGTTTAAAGGGATTTCTGTTAGCTTATAAAAATCCTAAATTGTTAACACCATTGGGAGAAATATTTTATGATTCATGTTTCATTCATGTTGATATTGAAGCAGATTTTTATATATTTAGACCTAAGCTTGGATGTACATTGAAAGGTAATATTAATATATATATATAATATTTATTATAATGAAGTTTCTAAATGTTTACTTATTAATAGACTATTTATAGGAATAGTAAATAAAAAGGGATTAGATCATATTGGGATACTTGTACATAAAGCATTTAATGTGTCAATTCCAAAACCAGATAATGAAGAAAATTGGCCAGGTGATAATCTTGAAATAGGCCAGGAAGTGAGATTTCAAGTAACACTTCTTGATTTTACAAGTAAATTACCATTTATTCGTGGAGTCTTAAATTCAGAGTAAGTATATTTATTATTTATTAATAATAACATTTAAAAGTTAATTTTAAAGTTTTTTAAAATAAAGTTACTATTTATTGAAAAAGAGATCATCTTTATAATATTTTTCATTATTTTCAATGACTAAATTTTATAATAAATTTTTTACTATTATTTCAGTGATTATTTACATGGATGTCGATTAATGCACAAAAATATTAATAATAAATCATCTGTTGAAAATATTATTCAAAATGAAATTTCAGTTAATAGTATTTCAAAAACAAATACTAAACATACAAAGAATACATATTTTACGTCTGAATCTGATAAAAATTCTTCTGATGAAAATATACAAGAAATAAAAAAAGAAATTGTTCAACAAAAAAAATCAAAGAAAAATTATGAACAAGAAGAATCAATTAAATATTGTGAAAAAAAGAAAAAAAGTAAAAAAAATGATAAAAAGATTAAAGAAATCAATGAATCTATATCTAAATTGGAGCCTATACATAATTATATAAATGATTTTCATTCAAATGAAATAGAAAGTATACTTGAAAATAAATCTAATATAAAAATAAAGTCTGAGAAAAGAAAAAACTTAGATGATATTGATATTTCTTTAGATGATTTCAGTACAAATAAATATGTAAGAAATTCAATAAGTCCAAATAAAAAAAGTTCAAAGAAAATTAAGTTGGAAGAATCTAATGATACATATGCACATGATATAAATGATGAAGACTCTTCAAGGAAACAACATAAGAAACATAAAAATTCTCCAAAATTGAATGTCTTTGAAAATAAAACAGACAAAGAAATTAAAATAGAAGAATTAAATGATATATACATACATGAACTAAATGATGATATAAATGATTCTTCAAAAAAGCAACAAAAGAAACATAAACATTTTCTAACATTAAATGCTTTTGAAAATGAAATGGACAAAGAAATTAAAATGGAAAAATTAGATGACACATATATGCATGAAGTAAATAATATAAGAGATTCTCCAAAAAAACAACGTAAAAAACATAAAAATTCTGTAACAATGAATGTTTTTAAAAATGAATTAGAGAAAGAAATTAAGATAGAAAAATTAAATGATACAAACATTCATGAAGTAAACGATAATGTGATGGAAAATTCTCCAAAGAAACAACGTAAAAAACATAAACATTCTCTAAATTTGGAAACTTCTGAAAGTGAAATTGATAAAAATGTTAAACTGGAAGAATGGAATAACACGGATTTACATGAAATAAATAATAGTACAGAAAAGAAACATTATAAAAAGAATAAACGTTCTATAAAGTTAGAAACATCTGATAATGAAACAGATAAAAAAATTAAATTAGAAGAATTGAATAGCACACATATATATGAAGTAAATGATGATATAAAAGACTCTCCAAAGAAACAGCATAAAAAGCATAAACATTCTGTAAAGTTGGAATCCTTTGAAAAAGAAATTAAGATGGAAGAATTAAATAATACATACATACATAAAATACATGATGATACAGAAAGTTCTCCAAAGAAACAACATAGAAAACATAAACGTTCTCTAAAATTGGATACTTTTGAAAATGAAATGGATAAAGAAATTAAACTAGAAAAACTAAATACATATATACATGAAGTAAATGATAATATGGAAGATTCTCTAATAAAACACAAAAAGCATAAACATTCTATAAAATTAGAATCTTTTGAAAATGAAATAGAAATAGATAAAGAAATCAAAGTGGAAGAATTAAGATAAAAAAGAAAACAACTAATAAAATTATTGATGTATTTTTAACTTCATATTTTTAATGTATATAAGTGAAATATTTTCTTTTATGATTCATCTGACAAAAATAATTGTAAATAGAATAATTGAAATAAATATAAACTAGACATTTTTATTCAAAATTCATATTTTATTTTGTGAATGATTTGATTAAAACATATAAAAAAATTATTGATGACAAAATTTTAAATTTTTTAATTTTCACACTTACATCAAGAAGTTTTTGTAAAAGCAGTAATTTGTTTATTTCGGAAGATTTACAATGAAAAATTTTATATAAAAACAGTTAC